TTCCAGGGCTGCTTCGTATCCCCAGTCCGGCCCTGATTTCAAGGAACCATACATCAATCTACACTGGAAGGACTTTAACTCCCATCATTCATTAAGGAAATATAAGTTCTCCTATGATTGTATTTACTAATTGTAGCCACAATTTTCAGGGAAGGATACAAGTTATCCAAAGTCTGCCTCTGAGATTTTACTTGTTATATCTATTGAAATATCATTTGCCAATTACTCAATGATATTAATTATTGCTATTGGGGCCTACTAACTACAAACACTTAACATACCAGGATAATTCACTACCAAGTATATTCTTATACTAAGAGACTGTTACTTTGTACTACAGGATTCACCTGCTCTGTTATTCCTCATTGACGTCACTTGGACTATATTGTTTGCTGCTGATTAAAGGGACACTATAGTCACCTGAACAACTTTAGCTTAATGAATTAGTTTTGGTGTATAGAACATGCCCCTGCAGCTTCACTGCTCAATCCTCTGCCATTTAGGAGTTAAATCCCTTTGTTTATGAACCCTAGTCACACCTCCCTTCATGTGACTTGCACAGCCTTCCATAAACACTTCCTGTAAAGAGAGCCCTATTTAGATTTTCTTTATTGCAAGTTCTGTTTAATTGAGATTTTCTTGTCCCCTGCTATATTAATAGCTTGCTAGACCCTGCAAGAGCCTCCTGTATGTGATTAACCCCTTTAGACCGGAGGGCGTACAATTACGCCCTATTATAGGCGACTCTAAACGCCGCTGGGCGTAATTGTACGCCCTCCGGTTTTTGCCTACTTACCCGGTTGCCGGCAGTCCCACGCCGGCGATCGCGGTGGGGGGGACTCCCAGGGAGCCCCCCGCGGCACGTCCGTCCTCGTCGAAGCCCCCCGGCCATGTGAGAGTGGGGTCCTAGCGAGGACCCCACAATCACATGGCCGGGGATAGCTGGCTTCTGTATTGCCAGCAGGGGGGCTGCCTGTAATTACAGGTGGTCCCCCTGCTGGCTGGAAATAAAATGAAAATAAAATGTATTAGTATAAAAAAAATATATATAGTTAGATCATATATATATATATATATATATATATATATATATATATATGATCTAAGTATATATATATATATATATATATATATATATATATATATATATATATATATATATATATATATATATATATACACATATATATACACACCATACACGTGTAGGTGTATTTACTATTATATATATATAATTATATATATATATATATATATATATATATATATATATATATATATATATATATTAATATCAAATTACACGTAGACTGATACTGGTTAAATATATATATAATTATTGTTATATATATATATATATATATATATATATATATTTATATATAATATAAAAAAATTAAATATGTAAATACGTTAAAAATTAAAATTTAAAAAATAATTTAAAAAAAATTAATTAAAAATATATAGATGTGTGTTATTTCATTCTAACTGTATTGTGATATTAATATATATATATATATATTTGTGGTCGTGGCAATATAGCCGTATATGGAAACATAGCATATGATAACATATCAATATTGGAATTAGTCGGTTGTGGTGTGCCGAAACCGACAGAGGAGTAGGCCTGTAAAAGTGGGCCCACCTTAGAGGGTGTTTATAATAGAGGGAGTGGTGGGTGGGTTGACTCGCCAGACCATTACGGTAATGTGGGAGTGGATTGGCAGCCCTTTTAAAGGGAAACCAAGCCCCTCCCACAACTACAGGCCAAGCCTTTTAATTTGTGGTCGTGGCAATATAGCCGTATATGGAAACATAGCATATGATAACATATCAATATTGGAATTAGTCGGTTGTGGTGTGCCGAAACCGACAGAGGAGTAGGCCTGTAAAAGTGGGCAAAAATAAATTATCATAAGACGTAATACGTTGACCAAAACTTTATTTAGATAAATCACAGAAAGCTAGTCTTAATTCTTTAACAGGATTGGGTATGTAAAGAGTATAAGCGGAAGATTTCCAGCGTCCCATTGTTTTGATGATGTGCGGAGGAATGTGGTTAGCAGAAGCTGTAGATGCTGCTCCTATTCGGAAAGAATGACCCGAAAATTGACTAGGGTTCAAGCCGAGTCTAGTCAACAGCAGTCTTACATAGAGCATAAACTTTACTGTAGTTAGAACGTTACCGTGCAGTTCTAGCAAAGGTTGTAATGGTTGTTTGTGGAGTGATAAAAGATAATTGTCAAAATTTTGTACAGGGCACCATTTGTTATGAGTAGGGTATAAGGGGATCGTAACGGTATGACCTATGGCACTGGTTTTTGAGTGTTTTAGCGTGAGTAGGTAATGGTCGTTTTGTTTCGCTAAGTCCATAATTCTTAGGTAATCAGGGGACGTGATAGTCCTAGTTGTGAATTCGTTGGGACGGAGGAATCCATAAAAAGCAAGATATATGGCTGATTTTATTACCGTGTTTGTCCTGGGCTCAAAAGGAGAGGAATCTAACAAGTTTACTAGTGCATGAAATATGTGGTTATCAATAGGTAGTCGTTTCTCGGGGATATGTGTATCTAATTTCTTAATGCCTCTAAGAACTGTCTTGATTTGATATGAGGACAGGAAACTCGTGGTGTTGGGTTGTTGAATTAGCATGTGGTGTTGAGTTCCCGTAAGGTATAGTTTTATAGTGTTAAATGATAGTTTAAGGTTGATGTGGCAAAAAGAAGTGAAACCCAATATTGTTTCTATCGTGAACATATCGTGAATGTGAAATTCAGTGATGAATTTTTTGAATATGTGAAAAGCTCTGTCGTAAGTGTTTCTAGTGTTTACAGAGAGTGCCATGTGAGAAATGTGACGTGCGTGATTTAACAAAACTTTTAATCCATTATCATGTCTGTGAAAAGTGGGACTGGAGTTGCCCGTCTGGAGGCGGTGGGTAGTGTCGTGAAGAATTCCTGAAAACGAAATCGAGACAAGTGATCAGCACTGATGTTTGTGCACCCTGGAACGTGAATACATGTTAGAAAGAATTGACAAGTGGCTGCTATCCATGTGAGTCGCCTCAATAGCCTCATAATTACCAGGGATGAAGACCGGCCTTTATTGACAATATGGCAAGTAGCCATATTATCAGAATAGCACCACACCGTGTGACCGGACCACTGGCGGCCCCAGGTAACGGCCGCAGCCACGATGGGGTACAATTCGAATAAAGCTGAGGTCTCTGTGAATTTTGTGAGTGATTTGACCTCAGTTGGCCATGGCCCCACGAGCCATAGGTCACCCCATATGGCTGCAAACCCCGTGTTTGCTGCAGCGTCTGTCCATATTGTGGGTGAAGTGTCTGAGTGAGATGGTATAAACATGGCACGCCCATTCCAAGAAGTGAGGAAAATCCTCCACATGCTCAAATCGGATGTCGCATGTTTGTCTAGTGAAATGTAAGATGTGTCTGAGGTGAATTGTGGAAATAGTGATAGCAAATGTGAAATAAATGATCTCCCCTGGGGAATGATTCTCATTGCAAAATTAAGCGATCCCAGCAATGATTGTAGGTCTTTCTTAGTGCAACGACCTTGCTGTAGGTAGTGGTCAATACTTGCCAGGATACGCTCAATTTTCTCCTGAGGGAGGCTGGCCTGCATGTGTACTGTGTCTAGTTGTATTCCTAAAAATTGCATCTGGGTGGCGGGCCCCAGGGTCTTGTGTGGGGAGACTGGAACAGAAAGTGACTCAAATAATGCCAACATGTGTTTTAAACTTGTGGGTGGACTTGTGTTGTTCTCAATTGTGAGGAAGTCGTCTAAATAGTGAATCACAGAGGGACATTGGTAAACATTTAGCAACAACCAACATAAAGCCTCTGCAAATGTGTCGAAAATACGCGGGCTGCTCTTAGAGCCAAAAGTGAGACGAGTGAAGAAATAGTATAACCCTTCCCATTTAATGCCGTGAAGGTGCCAAAGTGTAGGGTGCATAGGCAGTAGTTTGAAGGCATTTACTACATCCGTTTTGCTTAACCATGCCCCTGTGCCAGCTTTAATGATAGCCCCGATGGCATGGTCGATAGTGGCGTAATGTAGTGAAAACTCTTCAGATGGTATCAGTGAATTTAGGCTAGGGACCGTGGAGGAATGTGGTGCGGATAAATCAATGATCAGCCTGGGTTTAAGTGAGTTTTTCCCCGTGACAATCCCAATGGGATTGGTTCTCCAAGAATTGAAGGGTGGTGAAAGGAATGGACCCAGCAAAAAACCTTGTTTCACCTCGGTTGTGATAAGTTTAAGTACCAGCTGTGGGTCATCCCGTGTGGAAAGTAAGTTGTCACATTCCAGTGTGCCTGTGGGTAAATGTATCAACCCTGTGTGAAATCCTTCTGCTAATCCTGTTATGAGATAGTCGCTGAAGTGTCGTGATGGGTGTAGACGTAGCAAATCGGTGAATAAGCTGAGGTTCACGCATGTGAGATAGGGTTTTGGGAAAGCTTTATTTGGGCACATTGTCTTGGAATGAGCCCTGAAACAATGTGAACCAACATGCATTAGTCTACAGGAACTAAAACCACAATTGCCGGCATTAAAATTGTTACATACTTGGGATTTCCCTAAGAAGACAATATCTCTTCCTAGTTTGTCTTTCAAACTTTTGTTTGATCTTGGGGGGTAAGTTGCTGCTTGGTTTTGTTCTACCTCAGCTGTATTAGGGCAGAAATTTGTGCTGTGGGTTGCTGATGAGCATACTGCACAAGTTGGGGGCCTGAGGCCTGCAAAGTGCCTACAGAATAGCTCAGTGTCCAACTTGCTCCAATTGATGTTTAAGTTGAACTGAGCCAGAGCTGCTGCCACTTTTGCAGAGAAGGAACGGTGGTAATCGTAAAACGCTGTACCACCGTATTTGTGTCCCAGATCCACCAACTTGTGCATGTACGTATCCAGCTCGGCTCTTTTCCCTGGGTATACAGTGCAATATACATCCCTATAGATGCCAAACCCTAATAC